TTCAGCAGTCAAATACCCCCAAGTACCTTTTGTTTACAAGCGCATAAAAGCAGCGTAGTTTCTGCCACGATAATAGTATTTGAACAGCAATGTCATGACTGTAGGTATACGGTTGTTTACTCTTTTAGACCATGCGAGCGGATGGCTGCACTCTTCAGAGCATCACTGCTTCCTTCGTAGCCGCGTGTCAAAGTGAAAAGACATAGGACGAGAAGCAGGAGTGTAAGGTTGCTGTGTACCTGTGTCACTTTTGCTTCTGTGCGAGGTGCCTTGGATGCACTGACCCTCTGAAGAGCGCAGCCGTCCTCTCGCATCATCTAGCTAAAAGCAAACTACCATGTGCATATACTCCATGCTAAATTCATCAGCAACAAGCACTTCGTTCGCGCAGTGTTCGAGCCTGGTGAGCAAAAGGTGCTGCTGTGCTATCAGCATGTAAAAGGAAAATTACATTTTCATAAGTGGGGCCATACTGGCAAAGTCGACGATACCCTAGCGAAAAGGCACACCCCCACTGGGAAAATAACTCAGCCAGTACCGTACGTGAACCGACCTTTATCATTTGGTCGCTCTTGAATTGTAACCACAGCTCGTGAGGGTATTTCCACAGTCGGGAGGTCTGCAGGCACAATACTTGAATTCTGTTCATTGAAGCTGTGTATTCCTTCACATCACAGCAAATGATCTGCCAAGTGTTCAAACTTTTCCTTCAAAAATAAACCGTACATATGTTTTTAAACCCCAGTGCAAGGTAGATTACATTTTACAGTCAATGACCTTAGCAGAGACTTGAAAACATGGTGGCTGCAGGCTGAAAGATTACACTGCTCAAAGTGACGGTCACGTTGTTCGTCAGCCTTGGCATGGTTATGGGGGCTAGAAGGAGAGGTGTCAGCATCATCCCGGCCGCGCCTTGATAGAAGCTGTGCTGGTATTTCATTTCGCCGCGGAGCGGAGCGCAAGTCGTTACCGTGATCGGTCGAGAGCGCTCGCCAGCCGCTAGCGCGGCATTTTCAGTCGCTTGCTCGTGTGCTCGCAACTTGCAACGTCTGCGCTTTGCCTACTTGGACTTGTTTGGGATCAATACGTGCCAATGTAACCATGCCACAGTGATGGGTAAACAGCAGACACTGCTTTGCACCTGGATGCAATGCGGGATATGTTTCGGCCCGCAAACAAGGGAAGAAAGCATCTCTCTTCTCTGCTCGCGCCGACGATGAACGGCGCAAGGCCTGGGAGCGTGCGATTCTTCGCGCTGACAAACCACTGGAAAATAAGTGCATTGAGTGGGAAGCTCATTTCGACAAAAGATTCATCGTGCGTAGCTACAACCATGTTTTCAACAGGTTCTTAGCAACTTGTAAAAAAGCTGTACCTAAGGAGGGTGAGTTCCTGAGTGAATCAACGGCAGAAGGACTCTGCGTCACACTAACCAGCACCCTTTCCATCCGGCACTATGTCACGAAAGCCTTGGGCTATAAATACTTGATGACGTCTCGCCTCTGCCAAGACTTGCTTAAAATCTTTTTGGAATTCTGAAGCAAATGTCTGGCTCAAATGATCACCCTTCGCCGACACAACTTTTCATCTCTCTGAATTGCCTCAGTTTTTATAGTTTGGCACATTCACCCTCCAGCCGAAATATATCTTCTGGAGTTCTGAGCAGCTTTCAATGTCCTGGCATCCGCAATAATTCAATAAAATTGCAGAAGAAGCTGGATGAGCTGCTAGATTTGGGGCGCCTCAATGAGGTTTATGAAATTATTGTTGCTTGTGAAGCCCTTTCTGATGACACTGAATTCATTGGACGTAAAAGTGACTCCCTGATCACTTATTACGTTAGTGGCTATGTGGCCCGGAAGATGGTGAAAAAGACGAAGTGCAACGAATGTAGCAGATTGTTGCTTCACTCAGAATTCCAGCTTGCTTCCGGCAGAATCATGCCTTCTGTACCCGTCCGAGTCCTTAACACACCTGGTCAAAGCTATGGAAGATGCATTCACCTATTGCTTCAGTTTCAACAAGTTCAAAAGTGACAGCATAACAGACCTTATCTCTTGCCTGTCTGTGAAGAGGTTAAATATGGTCGGCTGTGAACACCACAAACTGGAAGTTACAAATCAGATAATTAGATTCTTTACACTGACCGGAATGCATTTTCTCGTTGCTGGAGAAAATGTGTCCAATAAAAAAAAAAGAGAGAAAAAATGAAGTTCTTGAAGTTGAGACGTGTGACTTAACTGTCATAGTGCTAACTCAGCGAACAAGGTTTTTGTTTTATGTTATTGTGCATTACTCAAACTCTCTTGTTTCTTGTGATTTTACTATTTTCTCGTTCACATTGTTATAAATTTTCCATTAACAACTGTGACGTCACTGTCTGGCTGTGTTTCACATATGCAGAAATCAATTTTTTCGTGAACTGGTTTCTGACTGTATCCATGTTTGCCAATGAAATCTTAATGTCATGTGTGTATGTATGCGCATTGTATCATCATATATTTACTGTTCTCTTTAGTTGCCTTATTCTCTTGGTTTACCTGAGTTTCATGCAACTTCAAGTTTTCTTCAACCTTAATGCATATGTTGTGTTTATTTTTCATGTTGTTCTTCGCTTTCGAGAAAATAAATGTCTTGCTTGTAAAATAGGGCCTTGATTGCGCGCGTCATAAAAATAACGGTTGCCGATACCTTTACGTACATTGAGACTTCATGGAGCATACTGCGGCATCAAATTTGAAAAGTGCACGGACTTTGTTTTGGTGTCAGCCTCACGGCAAGTCACTTGATTCTCTATCTTCTAATCTTCGTAGCTGATATACTACGAAGTGTATCAACAACACTAGTTTTCAGTGCCAATACACGCTTTGAAGTGCGCCGCCAGAATTGTGACAGGTAGACTGCTATAATCCGCAGTGTAGCGTGAAATATTTGCAACAAAAAACCACTGATACGTGCGAGCGAGCATGAGGAGGGACACCTTGAAAGCGACCGCAGCTTCTCCGCATCCGGATGAATTCTCGCTCGCATTCCGGCGCGCCGATGCTGACACCTCTCCTCCTAGCCACCATAGCATGGTCCCCTAAACGACAGCCATATTGTGTTTACATTAGCACCCTCTGTAGGTTGTCAAAAATAGCAAATATAATTTCTGCTGATGCTTTACAAAATAGTCAAAAAGTGAATCAAAATAACAAGGTGTCCCAGCTATCAGGCACCAAGACGTTTGAAAATATCAACTGTGTTATGTGAAAAAAGCCTTTTACATATATTTCCTGACATGTGGGAGTGACAATCATTAATTTCATTAATAAAATTTAGTCATCTTAAGAAATTATCACCTGATTATTAAGTCATTGATGAGGAATCTGTAGACACACTTGGTATTAATAAGAACTAACAGATAATGATGCCAATGAAAGTATAGGAGGTATTATTATAAGTAGTGATAATGTCAAAAAAGAAAAGTGGAAAAAAAGATTACTTGCCTCTGAATTCAGGAACAGCGCAACCTACAAGTAGTTACTTCATAACTACGGAAGCGAAAAAACAAGGACAGAAAAGAGCGCTGCTCTTTTCAGCGCTCTTTTCTGTCCTTGTTTTTTTCGCTTCCGTAGTTACGAAGTAACTACTTGTAGGTTGCGCTGTTCCTGAATTCAGTTATGTCCAACCAACTTGCCCAAGCTTCCACGCTTCATACTTGCCTCTGTCAAGTTATCTTTTCATCTGCTTTTCTTTCTTGATATTCTCATTACATTTCCTATAAGATTCCCCATACTTTCCTTAGCATCATTTTATGTTCATCATGATCAGCCTGACTACATTCACTGCAGGACAAAGGCCTTTCCCGTGTTACGCCAGTCAACTCTGTCCTGTGCTTACTGATGCCAACTCATACCCGTAAATTTCTTAATCTCATCTGCCCACCTAACCTTCTGTCTCCCCCTAACCGGCTTGCCTTCTCTGGAAATACAGTTAGTTACCCTTAATGACCAGCGGTTATCCTGTCTACGTGCTACATGCGCGGTTCATGTCCATTTCCTCTTCTTGATTTCAACTATGATATCCGTAACCCCCTTTTGTTTCCTAATCCCCCCTGCTCTCCTCTTGTGTCTTAAGGTTACACCTACCATTTTTCTTTCCATTGATCGCTGCGTAGTCCTCAATTTAGGTTGAACCCTCTTTGCAAGTCTCCAGGTTTCTGCTCCATAGCTAAGTACTGGCAAGATGCAGCTGTTATATACCTTCCTCTTGAGGGATAGTGGCAATCGACCTGTCATGATTTGAGAGTGTTTACAAAATGTGCTCCACCCCATTCTTGTTCTTCTAGTCACTTGAGTCTCGTGGTTCGGCTCCGCGGTTATTACCTGTCCTAAGTAGACATAAACTTTTACAACTTCAAGTGCATTATTACCTATCTCGAAGCGCTGTTCTCTTCCGAGGTTGTTGCACATTATTTTCGTTTTCTGCAGGTTAATATTAAGACCTACTTTTGTGCTCTTCTTGTCTAACTCCATAATCATGAGTTGCAATTTGTCGCCTGAGTTACTGAGCAATGCCATGTCATCGGTGAAGTGCAGGTTACTAAGGTTTTTATTAATAATGTGTCTGACAGGGAAGAACGAGCCCTTAAATTTACACTTCTTTCTTTCTAGGAACATTTAAGAGGCTCCTAAATGTGCCATTCTCTGTACCATGTGCACCATATTGCATGTTGTTTGACTGAAGAATTGACATGTGCGCTCCTATAATGTTTGCTCATTTTGATGACCTCAAGCACTTCTGCGCCTGTAATAAAGTAGTAGAATTATTCCCATACTGAGACATATTGTGGTTTTGGCACGTTAAACCTCAGCAGTTATTATTAATTTCACTAGTCCTTGTCCATTTGTCATGTTTTTCAGCCAGCCTACAAGTCTATACTAACTCGCACCATTTTTAATCCTCCTGAATGTACAAATTTGTTTATTGTTGATTTGTAGCCATTTTGTCTATTTCAGGGTGACCATTCATTTAATGGGGATGAGTACGAAAGTAAATCCAATGCTGTCAAGTCTGGACAGGCACCCATTTCTCTGGGCCACGAACAATGCCAGAAAGTCCCAGCCCCACCACTGTCATGTCCCATCTGTAACAAAGCTTTTGGTCGAAAGTACCACCTGGCGAGGCACCTGCGCAATGCAGTTTGCTCTACAGAACACAAGCTTTCCTTGCCCTGTCCCACATGCGGCAAACTGTTCTCCTCAAAGGTGAGTATTTTTTTTTGCGTTGCTCTAAATATTTACCTATGAGCTGTCTTTGCTGTAATTATCGTAAAACTCTGACCAGTTGTCCCCCCCCCCCACTCCAAGCTAGTCAAAATTGCTGTCATTGTGAAGTTGGGTCGCTATTCTGTAATGCCACCGAAATTCATTATGGTGATAAAGCTTTTCTGCCAGAAAAAGAAATATTGAGTGCTCATGGACTTCCTGGGGAATCCTCCCACTTTCGTTTGTGGTGCAGTGCATTGCAATGCCAATTAGATGCCTGCCAACAGCAATTCACAAAGACAATAAATGCAGCGGTAACACAATCAGACTGCAGGAAGCATGGCATAGAAGCAACTGCCTTGGTGAGCCCACACTGACAGAGCTCAGAATTTTATTGTAATGTGTTCAAGAAGGCTGCCATAGTCTTAGAGTTCCCTTAGAGCGATTCTTATCCCATCCATGTGGTGGTGCCGAAAATGGATGCCTGCAAATAGTTCCTGTGCACTTCCCAAAATGTGTGCATGTGTTTGCAGTCCTTCAAATTAAAGGGTATACTCCTGACGCCTGTGAACTCTGGAATTATTATTTGTTCATGAAAACCCTCAAATTCCTTCAGCAGTAACTTGTGAAAGGAGACTTTCTTTATTTATTTATTTATTTATTTCCAATGCGAAAATTCCTATACAACAGCAGGGGCCAAGAAAAAAAGATTATCCTTGAAAGATTATCTGAGCAGCTTTCCGTGGGGGATCAGCTGCAATTTCCAAATGTTGGAAACAGTGAAACAATCAAACCTGAAACAATCAGACCTGAAGCAATCACATGTGGATAAGATCGCAAAATAGTTTGATTTATTGTTCATTCATTATTCGAGATGTATTCATGTTAACGAGATGAGGCTTGCAAACATGGACACCAGAGAGAAGTCAGGACACCACAAAGAGCTTTGACAAGTAGCTGATCTCTTCAACACTTCACTTTAAGGCTCCCTTTGACACTGCTCCCTTTGACACAATATGATGAGGCTTGCAAACATGGACACTAGAGAGAAGTCAGGACACCACAAAGAGCTTTGACAAGTAGCTAATCTCTTCAACACTTCACTTTACGGCTCCATTTGACACTGCTTCTATGCTTCATTACACTATAGATTCACATTGTTTTCAAGGTTTTTAGGGGCCATGACACCTATTTTTCGCTAGTAATCTGTATTATGTGGGTTAATCCTTGGGGGCTGAGAAACGATCTGATGAAATTTCAGCTTATTTGGTAGAGCTATAATTTATAATGAATATTTTCAAAAACATGCCCGAGAGTCTGACAACACTGGCACACTCGCGAGCCGTGATGTAACAAGCTGGTTGCTTTGGAAACATCTGTATTCTGGCCAACGATTTTGTTAGGTCCTTGCTTGTGCATGCAGTGGAGCTATTTCAGCTTTATTCAGTATGGCTTTGAAAATTGAACGATCTGCGGCAGTTCAAACTTGGGGTACAATACGACAGCTCCACTGTAAGAGCCACATGACGTTACACATGCCATGGCAATATGGCGTTCGCTAGCAGTGAGTGGCGTTTATGGTCGGTGAATTCTAGGGCTCGTTTCGCTGTGAAATCTTCTTCTGTAGTTCATTAACTGTATATGTACAGGCACAATAGATCTTTTACTTCAATTTTTTTGCTGAAAAGCATAATATGGTGGGTGACCTTGTCAGGGCCCCTCTGAAGGAAACTTGTCATTGTGGAGCGCAAATAAGATTCTTGCTTTATATTTTCACACAAGCCTCCTTTTTATGTTTCATGTTGCCGGCACATTGCGGATGTAAATAGTGTGTTGCACAATCTATGCCAGAATGTCTGAGAACATTCTAGTCTTTGGACCATCTCTTCAGCTTGAGCGCGCATTCATGAACAGCTGAGTTTCTTCTGAAACAAGCTCGGTCATCAGCAGTAATGCTTGAATGTTTGACGCCGCGTGTATAAATTTCAACACTTGTTCCCACGGATCATATTGTTACGAGGCAGAGGACATGGCTCCGCCGTCGTAGACGAATTGATGAAGAAGCGGATTCGGTGCGCGAGATGCTGGCAGCTCTGGGGTGTCACACCAGTCTGTAAATATTGCAAATACACTCGTTTCTCTCTTTCGTGTGTTTGTAATCCCCGTAACAAATCGGTGGACCTGCTGGGTAACGAAGCGGCATACAACGGAGCTCCGCAGTGGTTGTCAAATCGGAGTTTTTGTGATGGAACACGGGACTGATCCCACGGCCACCACTCCATCGGCCTTGGCGACGCCTGCACCATTCACAGCAATGCCTCCACCGGCCCCGGCCCCACCCACGTATGTGCTGACACATCCGAAGCATCCAGGAACGTTCTGCGGTACGGACGAAGTTGATGTTGACAACTGGATAGCTGACTACGAATGTACCAGTGCACTCAACCGTTATGACCCGACTCTCATGCTGGCCAACGTGCTGTTTTACCTGAAAGGCATGGCCAAAGTTTGGTATGAGAACTATGAGTAAGAGATGGGATGTCGGGACACATTCAAGGAGAAGCTTCGAGACTTATTTGGAAGCCCATCGGTCGAAAGGTGGCTACAGAGAAAGAGTTGTCTATACGTGCTCAGACGACCACAGAGCCGTATATGTCGTATAAACAGGACGTGCTGGCTCTATGTCGTAAAGTCGACAACGACATGTCGGAGTCTGCTACGGCTGGCCCCTTCCTCAAGGGGATAGCGGACGATGCATTCAACCTGCTAATGTGCCGGAACTATGCGACCGTCGAGGAAATTATTCAGGAATGCCGGCGTTTTGAACTGGCCAAAAGCAAGCGTATTCCAAGATCATTCACTCGACTGCCGAACACCGCTGCGACGTCCTCCTGCGAAGATAGACTGACCTCTCGTCGGCAGTCTTCACCGGTGTCTGAAATTACGCAAATCGTCCGGTGGGAAATCGAAGCAATTACACCTGCTCTTCCCACCAATGGCCACGTCGATTCGCAAGTACCTCAGGTTTGCTTGGTACAGTTCATTGTGCGGGAAGAACTCGGCAATTTGGGTTTCAATATCTGTGCCGTTGCTCAGTCTCGACCAATTGGCTTCCGGTCGAGGTCGCCACCTCGCCCCAGGTCACCGCCCCAGGAACGGTTTTATCCACGCTCTCACAATCTGGTCGAATGGCGAACTGCAGATGATCGGTCGATCTGCTTTTATGGCTGCCGCATAGGGCACGTTGCACAGTTTTGCCACAATCATTGGTCTTCGTCCCGAACACAGTATAACACTGCTTGCCGCGCCGACAGCTACTGCCTTTTCCAGCCTCCTGCGCCGATCCCCGACAGCTACTGCCGCCTTCCACCCTTCGATTCCTTTGCCTTCGATGCCCCTGATATGCAGCACAGCGGCTCACCGTCGCCTCGACGTCATCAGTCTCATTCGCCGCCTGACGTCGCCCGTCATCCCCTTCTCCTCTATGACGACACCCGACCTCCCCGCTCTATTCTCATCAGGGAAACTAAGTGGTGCAGCTCTTAAAGGGGAAGCTGCATCCTCGATACCAACCTCAAATCCTCTCCTTGTACTGCCGACACGACGAAATTTGATCGACGTCCACGTTGACGGCCTGACTGTTTCTGCACTTATTGACACCGGGGCGCATATTTCTGTGATGAGTGCCCGACTTCGTCACCACCTGAAGAAAGTTCTCACACCGGCTGCTCCTGGCATTATTCGTGTCGCCAATGGAAGAAGTCTTGCCATCACAGGAATGTGCACAGCATGCACCACAATCGCCGATCACCCCACATCTGTTCTCTTTGCAGTTATTGAGCAGTGCCCCAATGACCTGATTCTTGGATTGGATTTCTTGTCCACTAATGCCGCTCTCATCGACTGTGCTACCGGCGTTCTCCAACTTGAACTGCCTTGACTTGGGGCTGTGCCGTCCTCACCGTCACACTGCTTGTGCGCTGTTGATTATGTTTGGCTGTCACCACAAGCCACCACGTTTCTGGCCTTAACGATATCATCTGCTCTTGCTGACAGTGACTACATGGTGTCTCCATTACTGGATGTGTTCTTGGGGCGGAGTGTTGTTGTGCCGCATACCATCGTGACTCGTGGACAACTACATTTAGCTTTCGCTCCTCAATTTTAGTAGTCCGACCCAAGTTCTCCCGCAAGGCATTTCGTTAGTCCATGTTTCCCCACTTGATGCATGTAACATCGTGGCATTAGACCCTGAAGACTGCTCGGCCCCTATTGCAGCCAGCCGAGCGAACGCACCTACCGACGAAATCAAGATGATGATTGCCCCTGATATGCTGCCCTGTCAGGCTGCGCAACTCCACGTTCTGAGCACCTACCGAGATATTTTCGACATCGATGACCGTCATTTGGGTCAAACGTTCGTTGTGCGTCATCAAATACATACCGGCGATGCTAGTCCTGTTAGACGGCGATCATATCGTGTTTCCCAGTCCAAACGCCAGGTCATTCAGCGTGAAGTCGAGAGGATGCTCTCCAAAGGACTGATAGGCCTCTTCAAGTCTATAGGCGTCACCTGTTGTTTTAGCCAAAAGGAAGGATGGCAGTTGGAGATTTTTCATTGACTACCGTGCCTTGAACAAGATAACCCGCAAAGACGTATATCCGCTGCCACGAATCGACGACGCCCTTGTCTGCCTTCATGGCGTGCCATACTTCTCATCTATAAATCTGCATTCGAGCTATTGGCGAATTTCTGTCGACGACTTAGACCGCAAGAAAACTGCCTTTGTCACACCGTACGGCCTTTGTCAGTTCAAGGTTATGCCTTTTGGGCTGTGCAACGCCCCGGCAACGTTCGAACGCATGATGGACTCTCTTCTCCGTGGTTATAAATGGTCCATCTGCCTTTGCTACCTAGACGGTGTGATCGTTTTTTCCCCAACATTTGAAAGCCACCTAACTCGTTTGTTGACCATTCTAGCCGTTTTTCGTCGAGAGGGACTCCAGCTGAATTCGAAAAAGTGAAATTTTGGCCGACGTGAAATCACGGTCCTTGTTCATCATGTAAGTGCTGCTGGCATCCAACTGGACCCTGACAAGGTTAGCGCTGTCAAGAACTTTCCTCTGCCTTCTACTATCAAAGATGTTCGTTGTTTTGTGGGCTCTTGCTTGTACTTCAGTTGTTTGATACGCGATTTCGCTACAATTGCACGACCACTAACTGATCTTCTCAAAAAGAACGCGCCCTTTTCGTGGGGCCAAGACCAAGCAGCTGCATTTTCCACGCTGATCGACCTGCTCACTTGCCACCAATATTGGCTCACTTCGACCCGCCTGTGATGACTGAAGTTCGCACAGACGCCAGTGCTCACGGCATCGGCGTCGTCCTCGCTCAACACCAGGGGGGCCAAACGCGTGTTATTGCGTATACCAGCCGCCTTCTCTCCACATCTGAGCAAAACTATTCGATAACGGAGCGCGAGTGTCTTGCGTTGGTCTCGGCTGTAGTGAAATTCCGCCCCTATTTGTATGGCCGGGAGTTTTCAGTTATTACGGACCACCGCGCTCTGTGTTGTTGTCGCTCAAGAACACAACTGGTCGCCTAGGTTGCTGGGTTCTGTCTCCAGGAGTATAATTTCGACGTAATTTATAAGTCTGGCAGGTTACACCAAGATGCCGATTGTCAATCGCATTATTTGGGGGACCCTGCTTGCGTCGTTGTCCATGAGAGCGATTCTTGTGTGCTCACCATATCTGATTTGCTAAACATCGACATAGAGCAGCGCCGGGACGCAACCCTCAAGACGGTCATTGAGCGAGTATTTTCAGGACATTCCGACCCTTCACTCCGTCAATATGTCCTCCGCAACGAAATTTTGTATCGCTGCAACATGAAGCCTGATGGCCCGGCATTTTTGTTAGTTATTCCCCGACACCTGCGTGCCACCATTCTTCAACACCTGCATGACGCTTCGACGGCAGGACACATGGGCTTTTCACGCACCTATCACCGCGTGCGGCAACGGTCCTTTGACCTGGCCTGTATAAATTTATGCGCCGCTATGTCGCTGCTTGTGAGCGCTCCTAGCATCGCAAACGTCCTGCTTTCCGTACGGCTTGCCTGCTCCAACCTATCGACATTCCCCCAGAACCATTCTTCCGCGTCGGCCTTGACTTGTTCGGACCTTTCCCAACGTTCGTGTGAGGCAACAAATGGATCGCTGTCGCAACTGACTATGTGACCAGATATGCTATAACTCGTGCCATGCCAAGTAGCTGCGCTACAGCTGTCGCAGACTTTCTACTGAATGACGTTGTTCTGCGGCATGGGGCTCCGCGCCAGCTTTTGACAGATCGTGGCCGCTGCTTCCTCACAAAAGTTAGCGACAAAATCCTCCGTAGCTGCTCTACCGAACATCATCTTACTATTGCCTACCATCCCCAGACCAACCGTCTCACAGAGTGCCTCAACTGAACTCTTAAAGATATGTTGTCCATGTTCATCTCTGCTGATCACCGTCACTGGGTCGCAACGCTCCCCTACGTTACGTTTGCATTCAATTCGTCATGACATGACACCACCGGCTATTCTCCGTTCTTTCTTCTGTACGGCCGCAACCCTGCATTGCCATTCGATACACTCCTTGCTTCTGATACTACCAAACCAAGGGTCTATGCTCAGGACGTTGCTTCTTGAGCCTGCGTCACTCGCCAAATCGCGCACACTAGGCTCGCTGCTTCTCAGGCCTCACAAAAAGTCCGCTACGTTGACTACTCTGCTGACTCTCTCTTCCTACTTTGGACGCCGCATCAGCGTGAAGGCTTGTGCGAGAAGCTCCTTCCACGATACACTGGGCCCTACAAAGTTATTCACAAGGTCACCGACGTCGACTACCTCACCACTGCCGTTGAACGACACTCATCTTCTGCCACACCACCTACTGATGTTGTTCATGTGTCGCGACTAAAACACTACTACACTGCTAGTCCTGATTGACTTAGCGGCGCCGTGACGGCGCTTCGTCCGCCGGGGGTGATGTTACGAGGCAGTGGGCATGGCTCCGCTATCATAGATTAATCGATGAAGCGGATTCGGCGCGCGAGATGCTAGCAGCCCTGGGGTGTCGCACCTAGCTGTAAATATTGCAAATACACTCGTTTCTTTCTTCCGTGTGTTTGTAATCCCCGTAACAATATTATCAATGGCCGACACTCTGTTCATAGATACCAGTGTGCAGCGCATATCGCTTGCTGTAGTTTGAGTTTCTATTTCCTAGCTACAAGTTTGGGCACATAGAGAGTTTCATTTCAGGCTTGCGGTTTCTATTTTTGTCAACGTCATGACCACTCAACAATATTTTCATATTCTCGCCTTGCTTTATTACTTTCTGGGGCATGCAATTCTCCATTCCTGCAATGCCTCCTTTGGCAGCATATGCAAAAACATTGCTGGTTTTCTGGCAGAATGTGATAAGTGACTACAGTACACTTTGCAGAAGTGCAGTTCCAGGGGCAGCGCTTTGATACCAAAAGTGATTGCTAACATTTCTTATTTATTCATCATACAAAGTTATACTTTTCCATAGAACTTCCGCGAATTATTACTACCGTTCTAAAATTATAGGCAATCGTATTTAATGCATCATTGTTTGGTATAAAGGTGTTTATATAGAACTTCAAAAATTAATAAAGTTTCTACAAGTGCTCAGGCAGAACTCGAAGGCCGAGTAGAAAGAATGACACCAGATCTTGGTGCGGGTTTTTTCCCCTTTGTTTACTTGTTTCTTTGTGCTCATGCAGTGTTTATTTTACTCAACAAGAAGTGTTTGGGCAAGTTAGTTTATACTTGATGTGGTTTCAAACGAGCGCTACGAAACAGGGACATGAACGGGCAATATGCGTCTGTGCTATGTTCCTCTTGTCTATGTCCCATTTGATATCCCTTGTTTGTTTTGCATCTTCACTATACTTTTTCATGAATTTTTTCACCTTTTCTTTCTTGCTTTTTGTTTGGCTTATGTTGTGGCATTTTTTCACCAAAGCGTGCTCTTTCATTCTATTCAACAAGGTTTGAACAAAGATGAAATTCATTGGACTGATGCCAATGTATGTTTGTGAAGTACTTCAAAAAGTAAAGCAGGGAAATTCACGAACGTCACCCCATCGATAAATATTACAGCAAGGCTAGGTGTTTCCAATATTTTTGCATCGTTAGTGCTGTGAAGCTATACGCAGTGTTCTAAAGATGTTGCAATGTAGTAAAGTGCTGCGCTTGATGCTCCTCTGAACCCTTGAAAAACCTTTGATGGTGGTACTGGATGTCCCTGCATACCCTTAGAATTTTTTCTCTAACTTGTATGAGCCATGATTTTTAAAGAGAGTGGCACATTCACTGTCTGCGAGTGGCACTGACATGTGGGAAATCTTTCAGGCAAAGCTTGACTACCACGTCACCACGCATGAAGAGGCGGCCAACAATTGCAAACAGTCTCCCCTCAGGCGGTTCGAGTGCCACCAGTGCGGCCGCCTGCTCTGGTCACAGTCTCAGTTGAAGATTCATCAGCGAACCCACACCGGAGAACGACCGTTCGCCTGCCCCGAGTGTTCCAAGACTTTTGTTTCCTTGGGCGCCTTAAACAAGCACAAGCTTTCTCACTCTAAGGAAAAGCCTTTCGTCTGCCCCCACTGCCCTGCCCGGTTTTCCTTGAAGGGCACGCTCAACAGGCACATTCCCACACATACTGGCATACGCTCTCACAAGTGTCCTCACTGCTCCAAGGATTTCATCCAGGTTGTGGCACTCCAAGCCCATCTCGTCACTCATACAGGAAGCAATGGCTTCCCCTGTCACGTGTGTGGACATATGTTCTCACGCAAGTCCCGCATGAAGGAGCATGTTCTGTGTGTTCACGAAGGCCAGCGTAACTTTAAATGCAATTTATGCAGCAAAAAGTTTTCGCGCAAGGATGATCTCGTTACCCACCAAGAGCACAGGCACGGTCTTGGCCAGCATTTGGGAAGTCTCAACCCGGCATGGAGCAGCATGATGCTCATGACAATGGCTTCGGACAGTCTCTCGCCTCCCAGAACTTATTCTGATGATGCGCTCATAAATGAATCTGTGATAACTCGTCAATCCATGTTAGATGCGTCACCCGACTCTGGAGAGGCAGCTGCTCGCACAGAATTGGCGAAAAGACATGCACACAAATTTCCAAGTTCAACACGTGCTACATGCAATGCATATGCATTCCAACAAACTGACAGTAGTGACCTCATTCTGCAAAGTAAAAAATTGTGCATGAAGCCGTCAGGTACGGCCGATGCTTGCCTGGTTACCCTCCCCGGTGAAATTTCACAGAAAGGCATTAGTAAAAATCGCCATTCTAAAGAAAAATGCACAGACACCTGTGCCGTGGACTACCAAAACCTCGAAAGAAAATATACGTCTACATCTTGTGTTTTTGCAACCTCTGAGCGAAGCGACTTTTGTCTTAAAAGGGATCCATCATTGAATGGGTTGGAGGAGAACTGCGATAATCTGAAAAATCGTATAGAGGAGTTTCTCTGCTCCCTCATTGAAAAACCGATACTCAAGAGACTGGGTTGGCCTAATGCACATTTAAGCGACTTGTTGGAATCTGTAATTCGTCACTGTGGCTGCAGCCCATCTGAGTCTCGCTCCGACTCCTTAGCCGACAAGCTCAGAGAAAACTGTAAAATACTTTTCACTAAGGTGCTCGAAGATGATGTTGCTGGGAAGCTCCTTGACGATGATCAGAGTGTAGATGCTGTGCTTGATAAGGTTCTGGAGTTAGCTCGATTGGGCTAGCCTGCGTTGAATGGTGTGTGCATATAAATTGTAGGAAATGTTATGCGAGGTATTACTATGGGGTGGGCTTGATAACTGTTTGATTTTTTGATGCCCACAGAAATCATGCTGACTATGCTAATTTTAATAGAGTGTAACTACAAAGGCCTGTGATTATTTTAAAATTTTTGGTTCAACAGTAATAAAGAAGCTGTACTGCAGACAGTGTTTGCAACAAACTTCTCTAGGAGGTGAGCAGCCTTCTTCTTTTTTTTTGTACGATTTTCATGTTTTGTTGCATCTTTGTGACTTCTTGAAGTCAGAATCGTGATTCTTTAATTTTTGATGCGGAGTCACTCATGAAGTTATATGAATGGCAGTGATATGAGTGCCCAATGTAATTGGTGGGGATGGTACATTCAAAGCTTGACGGGATGTATCAGTAGCACTTGGAAATGTTGTCAATTCAGGGTTCATTTCTTAGTTTTGCTTCAGGTTTACGATCCTGCTGAATTCTGTTTTATGTGTTTGTAGCTGGCATATTAGCATACACTTCCATTTTCTATGAATCGAGCTTCAGGCGAAATGGTATTGCGGAGTCCAATTGTTACAGCATTCCTTTCACATTCCTTGTTTCACTTCTATTTCTGGGGAGAAAAAGAAATACTACTTTAAAGTCTGATGTTGGAGATGTTTGTTGCGTTACTAAAGTGCACCTATCCTTTTGTCAAAGCTGACTGCCTGTAGCGTTTGAATGCTGCAGCATATCTAATGTACTTATAAATATTCTAATTGATACAGGCTTTTGTAACTTATTTTCGCGTGCTCATTGTGTACTCACCCAAGTCATTGATTCGATCTCCTCTTGGCGTATTGCTCAAAAAAGTGTCCCGCGCTCTTGCCAAACACTCATTCCAAGTGCATCTCAAGAACTTCGTGTGTACAGTTACCATTCTGACTCAGGCTATTTACAAGTCTGATGTTCTGCTCATTTCGCTTTTTTTTTTTCTTTTCTTTGCTGTATAAACATATGTTACAGAAGACTCGTTCAGTTTATAAGTGCTTCGTTTAAATTTTTGGTAGTCATTCCTCCACGTGCAAGTTGATTCTAATGACTTGAAATTTTATCTTTTCATGGGCTGTTACGTTAATGTCATTGTTAGAACACATGCTCGAACAATAACCTACCTCTGCAAGATTCCTGCGTGTACTTAATTGGGGTGGTTCGCTGGACCAATTAATGCTGAATTCTTGGAACAAAGGTGCTCCGATTCAATGACGACTGCAGAAGATTGATGCAAGACAGTGCGAACTCTAAACTGTGCTTTCACTCAGGGAGTGGAGGTTTGCATGCTTGCCGAGTAACATGTGGTCCAAAAAAGCACACTTGGGAAACTTGTTGACACTTGTCAATGGTGTGCTCTCAGGTAATCAGTTTCAGTGGTATGCAGGGTAATGCATGCTCATACAATACATGTTTTGCCAGACTTGATCATGAACAAAGCTTATTCAAGCTCTTGTGCCACCCCGTCTCGTGGCGTAAAAAACCTGAGCTGAGCGTTCAAGCTGTGTTTTTTTTTTTATCTTCTTCTACATTGAATGAGTGCCCTTCTGTTCAAGATTGCTAGTGCTTCTAATTTTTGTTTTTTCACTCATTGATTTGACCGACTAAATTCTGTGTTACATTATGCACTAGCTAATAGCATCTCCTATATCGCATGATTAACTGGCAGTCTGAAAATATAATAGTCTTGAAATAGGACCAAGCGCCCTTTGTGCATCAATAGTTCTGGTGCGTTTACACACTTCTCATGCTAGAAAAAGCTAAGGTTTAGTAAACAGACAAGGTATGAGGAGTTGCGTTTTACTTGTTTCACCGATTGGGTGTAATGAATTTTTGTTGCTGAAAGATTTTGAGAACAGTTGATGCAAAAATTTTGAAGAAAAAAAATGCCAGGCCTGCGCAGAAAGCGCAGCACAGTCACAGCAAAAGCTGGAAGAGTGGCCTCTCGGGGACTTTTCTAAACACTCTTTGGGTAACTGCTACAAGCGCACTTGCTGGGTACCAAATTTTTGTGTAGTAGGCTGGCATTCACTTTGCTATCCTTCGTCATTCTTCGGAAAAGTGTGCTATCGGCTACACATTTGCATGGAATTTTATGCAAATTTATTTATGCAGTGGTTGACGGCGACGAAGAATTATGCCTGAAGTGGGTGCGCTCCATAGTTAATAGGTAATCAAGAACAAGCTTTTGTAATTGGTTGGAGCATTGCACGACCCACTTTTTACACAATTCGCAATGTGTGACGCCTGGTTGTTCCTTGGATGTACTAAAACACCTCATTACGCATATTAACACAATAATTTTCTCGACATCAAGCCTGCCTAAGGCGAATTTGCAGACATGTTCCAAGCACCGGCATGGCTGAGGGGTAGAATACTGGGCTGGCACGCAGGGGACCCAGATTGGAACCCCCATTGTGTCCTTGGTGTCTTTTATTTACTGAGTTCTTTCTTCTTATTTCGTGCGATAGTGGTAACGGACACCGGCGCGGCGCCGCATGCGACCGTGTTGTGATCTCATAACAGCATTCGCTGTAAAATGAAACAAACAGCTTTACTGGTATTAGCTTGAATGCAGTAGTCCAGGAAAGATAAGTAGATAATAAAAAGAGCAGGGGAAGCTACTCAATTTTTCTTTTGTTAACAGTTACTTAACATATAACCGTAGATTGCTGCATCGTCAAGAGCAAAAAAGGAAGCCATCATGATAATGTGCTCATTCCCCATCTACATGCAATTGTTATTTTCACTTGTTATTGTATAAAAATGTGACATGTTAATGGAAATGCTGTGAAGTGTTGATTGTCTCCATGTTTCCTCTTTGTAATTAGCACGTTCATTATGCTGCGTGTAATAATATACAATGCATTCAGTATGAATACTTGCTGTTTGGCTCAGTAAGAAGTGTGACCTGGCAAGGCCATGTAATAACAGTGACATTGCCTAAGATTGTGTGAACATGTCATGCGAGTTGAAATAGATGTGACATTCTGTAGCTCAGTATGATCTTGTTCAAGTGTGATGTTACTTGATTGAGAATCATGAGATTACATGATTGAAAGTACGTTGAGGCGAGCTTTTCTCTTTCTTTTTGTGCAGATTTACTGTGATACAGACGATCAAATTGTGGTTCTTGAAATAAACCATTTTCTCTCAGTGATCTGAATATGTTTGTGTTTTATTTTAAATATTTTATTGCAGGCAATGCATATGCTGAAACTGAAAAATGTTTTCTAGTGTGTTTTGAAAGCAAGGACAAAGTACCGCTGGCCCGTATTCAGAATGTTTTTTTTTTTTTTTTGGGGGGGGGGGGGGTCGTTCAATTTCTTCAATTCCTTAAGACCTTGACTGTTTTAGAAAAACATCCTTTTCCTTTTTTTCTTGCCAGTGGGTGTGTTGTGGTAGTGTGTTAAGTCAAAGTAGACATATATGAGAATTGGTTACAAATAAATTGAAGTTATTAAAACTTTCTTTGCTAGTTCACAACCACCTGCCTTTCAGCCGTTTTGCGCTGTTTTTGTCTAGCCACCCCCGTTAAACAATATTGGCCTCGGACGAAGGAATGCTTCCCCGGAACACCACGAAAAGAGCTAGAAGCTCGTGACAAAAAAAATATCCTTGACCCCCCCCCCCCCCCCCTTTTCTATGTTTCAGTCGTACTAAATGCATCCTAGAGCATATAGAGACGTAGTGTTTCGCACAAGCCGGTTGTTTTTATTGATCATCATCGTCATTAGGGTCATCGTACTTGCATGCGTTGTGCCGTGATGGCAGAAAGAATGCGTGGTCTGTAAGCGCTTGTTCTTCATCGTTATGAGCGCCATCGTCAGCGGCGGCTACGGTGCACAATGCCACCAACGCTAACGGGCAATTCTCGACCATAAAAAAAACAAATGGCAGCATAACCACGGACTGAATGATGGATACTGTGGCGAAGCATACGTCCGTCCATTCGTTCTTGCTTCTGTCCATTCATGCGTGCGTCTGTGCGGCCGCCCGTGCGTCCATCCGCCCGTCCGTGCGTGCGTCTGTTCGTGCGTCTGCACGTTCATCTGTGCGTTCGTCCCTGCTTTCGTCCATGCATCCGCTCCTGCGTCCGTCCATGCGTCCATCCGTCCGTGCAGCCATCCGTGCGTCCGTCCATGCATCTGTCTGTGTGTCCGTTCGTCCACCTATTCAACACTCCAAGTACCACCATCTCCGTACCACCATCTCGCATCTTTTCATCATATATTCTTCATATAAAAGCACCGCCATCCAGCGGACATTCCAAGGAATGAACGAGAGGATGCACACGCACACTTTTTTACGGCTTTCGCTTCGTGTCTACTTCCCACCTTTAACCACATCGAGTTCACGGTATATACTAGTTCACTGTATTCATGGCACTGCAGCCCAACGCTCGCTAAACCTATTTTAAACCTAGGAGGTTACGCCCAGCGAGTATAACGTAGCAACCCTTTCTTGTCTTCTGTGCGTTGTTGAACAATAAAAAATTCGCAGCGTTCGCGTTAACTAAATGCCGAATTCTCCTGCCTCTCATTCCCCCTTAGCAGCCATTGGCATGTACATTTGAGCACTATCTTTTATTGTTCAACAACGCACAGAAGAAATCTCACTGGCAGCTTCTTGGAGGTCAAAATGTTATACTTGTTACACACTACTACAACGGCTACGAGGGACGAATGGGTGCCGCTATAAGGAGCTTCGCCCCTAAAGGTGCACAAGGTCAGGAGGCGCGCGTGACCTTTTTTTCCCCTCTGTGCCATTCCTCCCAGCTTGTCTTCCAGCGCTTTCGTTGGGACGAAAAACACTATGGCAGCGTGCGACAAATCTTCCGCTTGTACTAAGCAGGTGGTAAAAATATTTTGTGGTGGTTAATTCATGAGGCAATAATCTAATTGAGTGAAGCTATTTCACAGTTACTTGGAAAAGCGTTGCAGGGTACTTTCAAGGCCTAGCCGCACGTATGTGTTGCAGTGTGTCAGTGCGTGGTTTTTTGACGCGGTGCCGCGCCCTCTAAGAGGCATGCATGCCACGCAAGACTCGTTTGGAGAAGACGGCTGTCGATTCTGTTAAAGGCCATTTTAGATTATAAAGTGTTGTGACCTACCATGCTCCACACAGACAGACAGGCAGTGAACTCTGCTGAGGTTTTTAGGGGCGACTAAGAAAATCCCTTTCACGTCTCAAAATTTTAATGTGCCAGTGATGTGGGAAAATATGCCGACATTATCATAACACACGAGAAATACGATTTAAAAATTTTGAAGAAGTCTAGATTGGTGAGCTTATTTTTGTTACACAAAACATTCATGAAGTAAATTTCGAGCAGGATAACTGCAACATTAGGATTCAATTTAACTATATTGAGCAGGCCTCTTCAGTAAGTCCTCTGCAGTGGTTGACAGCCGTGTGTAATAGAAAAGTCTGCCGACATGCAGCACATATACAGTGACCAGTCTCTTGACCGCTTACAGATATCGGCATCTTTTGAGACGTTAATCATCAATGAATACCTGAAGCAGATAATGTTTTTTACGTCACAAAACCACAAACCCTGTAGTGGAAGGTTCCCGAAAATTTGACCATCTGGTGTTTAACGTGTGCAGATATCGCACAGCACGAGGACCTCTGCTATTTCGTCTCCTTTGAAAGGCGACCGCTGCCGCCAGGATCGACCCCGCAACCTTCGGGTCAACAACCGAGTACTTTAACCGTGAAAGAGGCAAGGGTGCTACACCTGCCCCGCCTCTCGACAAGAGGAGGGATAAAATCGGTATTGAGAAATGCGCAGGGTTAAAACAGGCTAGCAAATATTTTCCATGCTGCACATTGCACGTTTAGAGAGAGTATTCAAAGAACTGATCTGAAGAAGCGAGAATGAAAATCAGCGGACGCTGTCTTAGTAGACATAGATTTGCAGACGACGCAGGGATCTTCAGCAATTATTGCGAAAAAATTCTGGCGATGATGGATGCCTGAGAGATAACAATGAACGTGCTTGTGACAAAGGTAGTGATAATTAGCATTGCCAAAGAAACAAACTTTGCGAATGCCAACACACCCTTGGAGCGTATACAACAATAGGTATACCTAAGTGAACTACTTTCCAGGTAGCATATACTTATAAGAACAAAGTTTGTGGAAGGATAAATTTAGCATGGATCGCATAAGGCAGATATTACATTATAAAGACTGGAAAGTGCGCAGCCCCTAGGCCACAAAGTGCATCTTTGCGTGTTTGCATTCCTGGCATAAGAATGGATAAGTTGGACAATACCAACCATAATGATATCTAGAATTTAACGTCCAAAAACCACGATATGGGCCTCTATTTCACCTTCATCGAAATGCGACAGCCATGACCGGCATGGAACCAGCAGCCGAGCACCTTAACCACTGATTCGCCGTGGCAAACCGGACGATAACAAAGAAGCCCAAAGACATTTAAAAACAACTATACCTGTGATGGAACGCTATATGGTAGGGTGTGCATTAAAAGATCGGAAGACAGAGCAATGTCTCTGTTAACGAACAGGCCTAGCGGGTACTTCAATAGATGTGAAACAAGAGAAATGATCCTTGGCCGCCCACGCAGTGCGTATCACTAATGAGATATGGAGTGGAAACCAAGTGGAGAAGCCGATAATGGCAGTGAGTTTGATAAAGTGACCAAACTGAAATATTTTAAGGATACAACTTCACCAGTTCGCGCAAGATAATGCGAAGTACAGATCATTGGAAAGAGGCATTTGTACTTCCGTGGGCATAATGATAGGCTGGAGATGGTAATGATTAAGCCATTTTCTTCTGCAGGAATACCGTGCCGTAAGGCTAATATATAGGAACGAAGTCCTTAGGTGCGATATTACAAATTCACTTCCGGTCAGTTTTTCTTCGCGCC